TATCATTGAAATAACTCGATAACGTCTCAAAATGTGAGCCAAAGTTACTACCAATTCCAAATTGGCAAATCTATTACCTGCATTAAAAAGATTTTACGGCGAATAGATTGGAGCGTTTTTTGTCTTTGAAAAATTTGGTGCTAAGAAAGTATTAATGAACTGTTTAGGTGCAATATAATTACTCATTTTATCTGATATAAATCGAGTGTAATGAATGAATCTGAGTTTAGTTTGATTAAACTCGTTATACCTATACAATTTCGAATGCCTGCAGAAAATGGTACATATGCGAACGGGTCACGATTTTTCACCTTATCCGGGGCAAAATGTTCGGGATCGTATTTCTCTGGATTGTCATAATGCTAAAATAGCGAATCAGAAATCGGTGAGAGCAACAGACCGGTGCTTATAGAAGTCTCGAAGTGATGTAGAAGTCTGGAAGGAAGCACGAAGTAACGTTTCATTCAATTTATCATTTAATTTCTTTGTAGAATGTCTCATCGTGATAGTTCCTTTTTCTTTAAGCACATTGCACGAACCGTTCCGCAATAAGGAAAAAAAAAAACTCACCGCTGGATCTCGCATGATGTAAAACGGTGATATGCAACAAGTAATACCAGCCGGTATCGTATAACCACCTGAAGATTTTTAATATAACATTAAGCAAATTTCGATCAGGTAATTAAATGCATAAATTTAAGTTAAAAAAATAGTTTGAAACACACAGAGGTCAAGCTCAAAATCGATTTTCCTTCCTATGATTCCCGAACTTGGCGTTATGCGACCTGTTTCACATACACATTGATAAAGATATTTGAGCTCATTGATGTCATCTACTGTGATGTCGCGCTCTGTCTCACCTAAAAAACACACATTTGTTGTTACATGGATGAAACCGAATGCGAATCGAAATTTTTTTCGATATCAGAAGCTTTTAAAACTTTGGAAAATGCACCGAGGACACATTTAATTTCTTCGTAAATCTTATCCTGATAATGCTGTCGATGTCCCAATGCAAAGAGATTGAGACCAATTTGTACTGATGCTGAATCGCTTCCTGATAAGCAAAAATTCAAACTAAATATTAAATAATTACAATAAATAAATAAATTAAATGATGGAATCAAAAAATTTATTATTATTATTATTTATTATTATTATTTATTATTATTA